CACACACACACACACACACACACACACACACACACACACACACACACCAGAAGAACATTTACAGAACATACAGAAGTTGAAGTGATATTCTGCTGCCTCCTCCATTATTTAACTGCGAGGTTTTCCAATCTTTATTCTCTGGTGTTATTCAATATTATTCCACTGGTTCCTTCTGAAGATGTAAAGCTTTAAAAGCAGCTCAAGTTTCATTTTTAAAAAGGCTCAGTCATTTTCTACAACGAAAGTTACAAATATAACTCCGGTTCTATGAATCCTTACTGCCCGCCAGAGGAAGTGCTTAACACTGGATATCTTCTGTCTCGCGCAGGTCGAGTCTTTATATCAATCAAGTCACCTGTGACCTCGGTGACCCCCGTCGTAGACCCCCGTCACAAGGCTTCTATGAGGCTACAGCGACATGCTCCAATATGTCTTGATCGTAGACACATCTTTGTTTAAGCTTATGCTACCATGGTAGCTAGCCTGCGTAGCAAGAAGATGAAAAAGGACTGATCTCAGGATGACACCGGAACTTATAGACGACGGGGGTCATCCGAGGTCACAGGTGACTTGGTTAATATAAAGACTCGACCTGCGCAAGACAGAAGATATCCAGAGTTAAGCACTGCCTCTGGCGGTCAGTAAGGATGAAATAGAACAGCTTGTCACAACAAACGCTACTCAAACAGACTATTTTCAGCAGTGGAAGAATACACGTGGTGTTCTACTGCAGCAGGCTGTTCTCATCCTCTGTTTGTTTCTATAGGCATATGAATAAGTGAGTGAGGTGAAATGTATATGTACCTCAGGACTCATCTCTGGGTACTTCCTGCCTTTACTCTTCCCCAGACACTTGGCTCGACCTCCTTCCACCCGCTGACACCAGAATCCTTTGCTGTCATCGTACCTGCAGACACATAGTATGTTCATTGAACACCTTTCACATGTGGTACATGTTCATTGAACACCTTTCACATGTGGTACATGTTCATTGAACACCTTTCACATGTGGTACATGTTCATTGAACACCTTTCACATGTGGTACATGTTCATTTAACACCTTTCACATGTGGTACATGTTCATTTAACACCTTTCACATGTGGTACATGTTCATTTAACACCTTTCACATGTGGTACATGTTCATTTAACACCTTTCACATGTGGTACATGGAAACGTTACTGGGTTCATCTCTCGGTTAAAGGTCGACTCCATTTGCGTTCGTAGATGAAAATCTACACAACCACATATTGATGCTTCATTTCAAATCCACTGGAGTCGTGTAGAGGCAAAATAAAAATAAAAATTGTGTCACAGTCCAAATGACACTGCGTGTGTGTGTGTACACATAACACTTGGAAACTACAGACCAACTGACCTTTACGTATTATGAGCTTTCAAACTAAATGTTGATGTGTTCCTTTAAGGAAACACTGTGTGTGTGTGTGTGTGTGTGTGTGTGTGTGTGTGTGTGTGTGTGTCAAACATTAAAGCCTGGGTGTAGTTGAAGATGGGAGTGACACCGAGGAACCTCTGGATTCCCTCCATCATCAGAGCCGGGTTGGACCGCAGCAGCGCCCCGTCCACGATGTGCAACTACAACACACAGAGCAGCGTCATCCAGGAGCGTCTCCACAGGGTGCATGAGATTTACATGAGAGAAGGAACTACTCAGACAAACAGCCATCTAACAGCAGCACGGGATAGAGAGCATCAGCTGACCACTGACATCATGATCCCCTGATCGCATCATTACTATATAGTAGAGCTGTCAGAAAATAGCATTACACTTGAGCACTTGAGAGGGATACTATGTTATACTTAGTTTATATTTACTCATTTCATTACCTCAAGAATCCTGCGAGCAGATCACATTGTTCTGACTGCAAAGGGCAGTGGTTCACAAACTTTATCTGCACTGCTCTCTCTGCATAGATCACATTCATATTACATGTAAATTGCTTTCTGGCATATTCATTTGTAAATTAACTTAATTTATTTTAAGTGCAAACAACTTATATTTCCCACATTTAACAGCGAGTTGTGCTTTCACAGGGACAGATGCAGCTTTCACAAAGTGAAAGTTTTCCAATTTCTTTCTGAAAAAGTCAAGGTGTTTGTTCACATTGGGTTTCCAAGTGTCTTTTCAATGTGGTGGGCTTCATGCTGTCTGCCTTCAGTATGTTAACACACACACACACACACACACACACACACACACACACACACACACA